GCTCTGCAATTACAGAAATACTTTCTGCAAATACACACTTAAAAGTCCAGATCTAAACCCATGGCATATACAAAGTCACATGTTTGCAAACATTCTACATACAAAACTACTTGACTGTATATTAAACTTAAAGAGTTAGTAGTAAAAACAAAAGCTACAAACACCATTGAACCACTAGCCTGATTTTTTTCAGTCTGCAAAATTGCAGGTTGCTTAATTTTTCTTCTGCATTATTGAAAATGTCTTTGCAAAATGCAGACTGCAGATGGGTATTTCTAACACTGACATCTGATGAAAGATTTGTTTTTGCATGACTTGAGCCCAGGCAGATTCCAAGATTAAATTGAGCCTTGGAGCCATCAAGTACGTGTAACAGCACAATTTTAGATTACTATAAAACACTTAGATCAAACACCTTTATATTATCTCGATGTCATGTAATGCCAGCTTTTTTTTTCAAAAGCACTTGCATCTCTTCTGTACAGGTATCTAACTGGTGACCAGTTCAGCAGTGATTCGTCTGTGGAGTCGTACGTTCAGGTCTTGCGCAAGGGATGCAGATGTGTGGAATGTAAGTATGTCAGATACATGACAGGCTTTTAACTAGGGGGTGTCCAGGGTGTCTCTTGGACTCCCTGTACTGAAAATAACAAGAAATCGGACGCCCTACTTTTTAGGGACACCCTAAAGACGCCCTGCCATGCACATATGCTTCCCTTCAGCCTTACTTTAACTTACAGAAATGATGTTGTAATGAAGGAAAAAAAAACATGGCTGCAGTCTATATTCTTCAAAGTTTGCACCTGAATATACAGGAAGTAGAGTTTGAGAGCATTATGAATTTCAAAAAAGGCTCCCTAAAAAGCGTGTGCCTGCACCGCTGGCCGCGCACATACCGGTAGCACACTATAAAAAAAATTGGACACCCTGAACAAAAAATCGTAGCAAAAAGCCTGATACATGACAATTATAAATGGGGTCACCATTACTGATGATTTTCAGGGTACAACATGCAGTCAAGAAATGTTTTCTGATGTTGCCCCTTTGTTCTATATGTATAGTGGACTGTTGGGATGGTCCTGATGGTATCCCTGTGATCTACCACGGCCACACCCTCACCAGCAAGATCAAGTTTCTGGACGTCATCAGGGCAGTACGGGATCACGCGTTTGACGTCTCAGAGTTAGTAAACCTTTCATGTGTTTAATAAGCCTTTCGTGCTGCTGTAGGGAAAGGTCGAGGGTAGCCAACAGTAATACTTTGTTGTAGGAGCGGGGGGATAGTGATTACGGATTATGCAAAATTTTCGCCAGCGATTACGAATTACCTTTAAGTCTCAGAGCTGATTACGACTTTACACTTAGCGGCTAATGTACTTTTACGAATTATGTTAATTTTTGGTAAGGCTGCCTATGGGTTTCAAAGACTAAAAAGGCATGATTACGCCTTACGTGAAAGGGCATGCAGGCCCCCTTACATTTGTATAGAGCAAGCTTTTGCTGAAAATATCTGATAGATATCTGTAGACTGCTACTTTAGCACAGAAATATCTGTACATTGCTGTGTTATACTTGCATATCTAGTTCCAAGATATTTTCCATGGATAATGTCTAAAGCTAAGCTGATTGTTACTATGTGTCATGTGTAACAGTTTCACTCATGTTAGTATAAGACATGCTGGGCATTAACAATTTTCAAGTCTACATTGCACAACTTCTGTCTGTTGCAGATATGCAGTCATCCTATCCATAGAAAACCACTGCAATATAGCCCAGCAGAGAACCATGGCCACTCTCCTGAAGGAAACGTTTGGAGGTCAGTAAATGTGTAAAAAAAATTTCAGCTTTCAGTGAAGAGAAAAACAGGGTTTTGTTTGAAATGTTGTAGATCAACTAGAAGCCTGCATCAAAGGTATTTTTACTTCAAAAGTTTTTAAAGGGTTTCCTCAAGCAGCCTGACATAGAGACATATTGGGATGTGTTAAGCCTCAAAAATGTCATAATTTGATTTGTCAATGAATTATATCATTTGTGTATCTACTAAAATTCTTAATTCAATTCAGAAATGCTCCTGACCCAGCCTGTGGATCTCAATGCCATGGAGCTGCCCTCCCCCAATCAACTCAAGAGGAAAATCATCATTAAGGTGGGTGAAGTTTTATGTGTGAGGCCCAGTTAGATGGTTAGAAAGTTGAATGGGAATTGATTTTGCACTTATGATAATTATTGTTGTAATAGAATTTTAAGTGTTGATACAAGGGATACCAGGCTTTAGACTCTTACATGTATTTGTAAGGTATAATGTGTATGTCCTGATGATATTTGAATGACATGTTTGTGAATTTTTGTACAAAAAACGCAATTCAGCACTGGTGCTGCAAAGGTTTTTATTTTGAATAAACCATTCTCTCTTTTCTCTCTCTCTCTCTCTATCAACTTTTGTCTCATTTCATCCAACAGCACAAAAAGCTCCCTGATGGCAGTGATGACACAAGGACATCTGCCAGTAACTCCCTTGAGGAAGGTAAATCATCTTTCCTTGTGTAGTTGGAATATGCTAGCTTGTACGGAAAGACAACATGTACATGTACTACCAATGTGCTTGTTCATACAGTTCAGGAGCCAGGGGATGTTTTGCATGATTCAGTTTAAGGATTTGAAAATGAGCTGTTCTGTTGCAAGGCTTTTACATGTAGTTGTATTCAAAGTAATCAAATTGCTGCTTTATAAGCTTTCTGAAGGCTTGTTTGATTTGAAAAGTTCTGGGATGGAAATGTTTTCTTAAAATCCTTTAGTGATCCCAACTGCATGCTAGTAATTTTGTTGCCCTTAACCATAATTCTTGGACCATTGCCTATTTTGGTTTTCTACCCTCCTTGCTGATATAAAAATTCTGTTACCCTAACAGTAATTTAATAATAAATAAAAGATAATTATCCTGATAAATGCATCACTATGTTCATGTGTACTTTGGCCTTTACAACTAGAAGTAATCTCAGAGTATGGACATACTAGTTCACAATTCTTTTATTATTTTCATTTCATATTGTGTCTCGTGTTTGGCCAGATGAAGGTATGATTCCATTTTCAGCTGGTGAACCCTTCTTGTGTTAAATCACGTTTGTTTCTGTCTCCCTTGTTATTAATCTTCCAGGGCTTTAAGGACTTCTTGTACAATGGAATGCATCACCATCACTTGTTAAATTGTCCAAGAAACATTTAAGAAATATTTCTTCATTACGCTCCTCCTAACACACACTCCCTAATGTTTTTAATTGTTATATAACATAATTATAAGTGCATATTTGCTTCTAATGCATGATAGAGCAATCACTGTTTCATCACGTTTCCTTTTCAGAATCATTAGGCCACAGGAAGTACTTTTTATGGATGACATCAGCGCGCACATTAATTTTCGTCTGATTTGAAATTTAAAAAAACAAGAAATTTTGTTGCCTTCTGACAGTGGTCAACATGCCAAAAATGGGCAAAGATGTCTGTTGCCATGCTGGAAGGTGGATGGCAGATAACTATGAAGAGAGGAGACAAGAAAAGGCTCTGATTTAATGTTTTGTTTCTTATTTTGATGCAGTGATATGTGATGCTGACTGTGTATATGAGATGTTCCCACTGAATCAAAACCATTTGTACAATGATTGAGTCAAAATTTTAAAATGTAGGAACCTTGTTTTTTTTTGGCCAGTCTTGTTTTTTTTTGGCCCACTCGCATTAGATTTGGGGTCTGCAGAGGATGTCATCCATAAAATTTACTTGCTGTGGCCTTATGCCAAGGAGTTGAAGATTCAACAAATGTTTAGATAACAGTGCTTTTTTTGTGACACAGGGAGAGAGGGAGACCTGAGCAATGCATTGAAAAACGGGATCCTACTGCTGGAAGATCGCGTGGATCGTGTGAGTATTTCCACGCCATTTCTGGCCCTTCAAAAGTGCCTTTTAGAGCACTTTACAATCAATAATAATATAATTATGGTATTGTTTTAGTTAGTAGAATATTCTTCAATCAGTGACTTATTGAGAGGTAGCAAAACATGAACCGAGAGGTCTTGGGTTCAGTGTGTATGCAAATTTGTAGTCATGTGTATATTTGTACTGTGTGTGTGTTGTGTAATGTGGAATGAGCCCTGGAAGATTGTATCGTAATAAACTAAACTAAACTAAACTAAACTAAACTAGAAACTAGAAACTAAACTAAACTAAACTAAACTAAACTAAACTAAACTAAACTAAACTAAACTAAACTAAACTAAACTAAACTAAACTAAACCCTGCCATGTCACTGATCTTGTGCCCTTGGGAAAGGCACTTAACACATTTAACTTTCCTGGATGGAGCCCTAGCAAACCCCATCTCGTATTAGTCACAAAAAGGAAGCAGAATCTTCAACTAGTTGAAGGCAGCTGCTTCAAAATTAAATAATAAGAAATGAAATGACTGACTTCCACCTCCTACAGACATGGAGTGCTCATTTCTTCAACCTGACGTCGAGACAGCTGTCCTACACAGAGGAGCAGGAGCGGAGGGTGGTGGAGGATGATGATGAGGAGGATGAAGAAGAGGACGAGGATCAGATTCCTGAGGTGAGCTTCACTCAATCCCTTCAGAGTTTCTTTTTCTTTCTGTCCCGTAGCTCAGTCAGCCTTTGGGGCAGCATGATGTTTGGCAATGGTTTTCCGCTGCTGACAATCTTCTGCCAGTCTGGCCATCTGGTTGGCTGTTTGACCATGACCCCGCGCCTGTGCGCCTTTGGCCTTTCCCTGAAGAATTGTGTGTGAGAGTGTGCCTTTGGCCCTAGACACATGACTGAACCACTGTAGTTTTTTCTTCTTAACTGTTGCCAGAAACTGTCAAGAGGGCCTTGCTTAGTGTAGATGCGTTCCCTGACTTCTTTGTTTGTAGTATGTGATGTCCAGTGAATGAGTTTCACAGTGGAGATGTACAGGAGAGGTCCAGGTGGAGCCTAAGGCAATATTTCATCTGTTTTGATCTTAGCAGATAGTAAAGATTAGTACTGAATGACTGAAACTGAAGTGAAGATTACGACATTTGTATCTTTTTTAAGTTCTGTATGTTAATCGTACAATATAGTATTCATAAAATTTAAATTTGTACATTGACCGCAATTCAGTGATTTGTTTTTCATTAAATAATTCTTCTTGAGTTTTGAGTCTTGAAAAATCACTAAAACCATTTGTGTGGTATCATAGAAGCCACATATGGAAACTTTTATACATCTGATATGGATGATACTTGGCTGAAGAGAAGTCTACCCTCCCCTCCCCTAGGATATCCCAATCCAGGAGCTCCACTTCAGCGAGCCATGGTTCTATGGTAAGGTGCCAGGTGGGAGGAAGGCAGCAGACAAAATGCTGAGGGAGTATGTCAGAACTAAGAGTGCCCCTGATGGATGCTTCCTGGTCAGGGACAGCGACACCTTCGTCGGAGACTTCTCTCTGACATTCTGGTAAGAAATGTTACATCTTTGGCGACACCTCAGGGGGAGCCCAATGGTACAGTATTGTGTGCAGTTTGCTAGAATTCTAGGAATTCTCTAGGAATTTTTTCCACAGGTATGTAATGTGTTTTAGCACGATAACTAAAGAAGCTATGGATGGATTGTAAAGAAACTTGGTAGGTTAGTAGGACTTCATGAGACATCAAAATGAGCAGACTTTGGGCCCCCTAGCATAGCAGCTTGTTATGGTGCTGCAGTGGAACTTCCGGTTTTGATATCTCGTGATCTGGACATGTTCGGTCACAAACTATTTTTTTTACAGTATGATTGCCTTTATAACATTTATAATGAAAAAAATATAACATTTAAAATTAAAAAAAGTTCTACTTGCTGAAGGTAGATGTCATATTTTGGCGTGTAAGATAACAAGTTTCAAAACTATAACATAGCAAAAAGTTCCTTTAATTTCTACTTTACTGTTGAGTTGAGTATAGTAAAATTTTGTATATTAAACACTGATACAATAATATATCTTGGTCCACATTAGATTCTGTGTAATACAGTGTATATACTTTCGTTTGTAATTGATATCTTTCATCCTGGTGCTGCAGTTATCTTAACTGAATATTAGCCTATTTTATGTGTACAATAATTAAGAGTAGTCAATTTCCCCAACCGCAGGAAGTCTGGTCGACCCAACCACTGCCGCATCCGCTCCAAGCAGGACCAGGGCAAGCCCACCTTCTATCTCATAGACAACATGCCGTTTGACAGTCTCTACAGGTAACTGCATGGACTGAATCTCAGTTTCAATGAGCTTAACAGTTTAACAAGCATGACTAATAAACTGGTGGATATACCAACTACTAAAGTACCTAGTACCATCTCAGAAAAGAACAAGAAATAGTCATGCCTTCAAGTACCAGAGTTATCAATTGAGGTGTTCAAAAACTCATTCTTTCCTAGAACTATCGTAGAGTGGAACTCGCTGTCACCAAGTACAGTAGGGGCATTATCATTAGATAGTTTTAAACAATGTTTAGAGTTAGATGGTCAAACGTTAGGTGAAACAAGTGGTTTGGTGAAATGTAGCCAGCTGCCACCATGCCACGTGCCTACGAAGTTATGCTGAAGGGCAGTTATACGGGCTATACCGATACAGAGAAATGAAGATGGGTTTCAACATCTGGAAACACTTTTTGTCAAATTGCCAGTTTTAAATCTGCCTGTACTTTTTATCAACATATCAGCTATTATGATATCAAATATCCTGTAACTTCCTTCATGAATATTTCCATATATGCATGTAAACAGTCTCAACTTGAATAACGTAAACCTTTGCTCTGCATGTGTTTTCAATCAATATAATCCTGATGCTATTAGCCCCACTCAATTGTAACACTATATCAAAGACTTGTGCTAGCCCTTGTTTGAGTGATTAGGATTTACATTGTACTAGGTCTTATTTAATACTTTTTTTGTACTTTACCATGTGCAATTGCATGATAGAGTTCTTCTGTGTAAAGATGTTGTTGTGTCCGTTGTCAGCATGGTGACGTACTACCGCCAGTATCCGCTGAAGGCCAACGAATTTGAGTTAGTCCTGACGGATCCGGTGGAGCCGCCACACAGCCATGAAGGCAAGGACTGGTACAACCACCCTCTCAGCCGTGCCCAGGCCGAGGAGATGCTGAAGCGAGTCAGAAAGGACGGAGCCTTCCTGGTGCGAAAGAGCGAGACGGACTCAGAGTCTTACGCGATTTCCTTCAGGTACAAATATTATTATTTTCATTTCGAATCATTATGTTTACCGAAGGAAAACATATTATTTCTGTTGCTTTTTCTTCTCCAAACAAATTGGGTCAATGACCTGAACTTGACGTCTGTCACCATGGTAACTAGTGTTAGGTTACATCATGTTGCAATTTAATAGCAGGAGGGATTTAGACTCCTGTCACCATATATATATATATGAATTTGTGTGTTTGAGTAAGAATTAACAGAGCAGACCATATGCAAAGGTAAATATTGAGCATTGCTTTGCAAATGTTACCTTAGTTTCTAGTTTCAAATGAACTTGCTCTCATGATTTGTCTTGAAGCTTGACATGTGGTTATTAGTAATTTGAAATGAAGTATATTTTGATATTTTCAGAGCGGAAGGGAAGATCAAACATTGCCGGATCAAGCAGGATGGCCGACTGTATGTGATCGGGACAGCACAGTTCGAGAGTCTCATCAAGCTGGTCAACTACTACAAGGAAAACGCTCTGTACAGGAGAATGAAGCTACGCTATGCAGTCAATGAAGAAGTTGTCAAAAATGTGGGACAGGTAAATAAAAAATCCTGCAGTCTCAAGCTTTACCCCTAGTTTTTTAAACCCATGTCCTGCTGGCATTGTTTACATGATATTTTCAAATAATTTGATATCTCAGGTCAAAGAACCTTGACTTTTTTTGCCCTGCGTTGGCCTGTTTACTTCCACATTCATTGCTTTTTTGCTGCGGTGTGATGTGTTGTATGAGAAATACCCCCAAATCATACATATACAAGGCACTATATACAAGTAGATGGTACTGTATGTGCAATCCATATATATATATATATATATATATATATATATATATATATATA